CAAGGCTTTCTCTGATGAAGAGATATCCCATGCCGTTTTCTAGATTGGGCCGCTTAAGGCGCCCGGGCCAGATGGATTTCCAGCACGTTTCTTCCAGCGGAATTGGGGTCTTTTAAAGGAGGAGGTAGTGAAGGCGGTGAAGGAATTTTTCAATACGGGGGTGATGCCTGCGGGTGTAAATGAAACTGCTATTGTTCTCATCCCGAAAGTTGATCAGCCAATAGAGCTGCGGGATTATAGGCCCATCAGTCTGTGCAACGTACTGTATAAAGTGGTCTCTAAATGTTTGGTTAACAGACTTCGACCGATTTTAGATGAACTTATCTCCCCAAATCAAAGTGCTTTCGTCCCTGGGAGAATGATTACAGATAATGCGCTCATTGCCTTTGAGTGCTTTCATTCAATTCAAAAGAATAAGAAGTTGTCATCAGCTACTTGTGCTTATAAATTGGATCTGTCAAAAGCCTATGATAGGGTCGATTGGAAGTTTTTGGAGCAATCAATGTACAAGCTGGGTTTCGCTCATTGTTGGGTTAATTGGATAATGTCGTGTATAACCTCGGTGAGATATTCGGTTAAATTTAATGGGACCCTGCTTAGCACATTTGCTCCTTCAAGGGGTTTGCGCCAAGGTGACCCCTTATCTCCCTTCCTCTTCCTATTTGTGGTAGACGGACTTTCGCTGTTGCTTGAGGAGAGGGTAGCCCAAGGAGCCTTGTCCCCGGTTCACATCTGTCGTCGGGCTCCTGGTATATCCAACCTGCTCTTCACTGATGATACCCTTCTCTTTTTCAAAGCAACTAGTGAGCAAGCAAATGTAGTGATGAATGTTCTAGCAGACTATGCCTGGTGCACTGGTCAACTGATTAACCAGGAGAAATGCTCTATTATGTTTGGTGAAGCTTCTCCTCCCGATGTCCAGGAATCTGTTAGAAGTGTTCTGCAAGTGGGGAGCACCAGCTTTGATGACAAGTATCTGGGTTTTCCAACGCCGGAAGGAAGGATGAATAAAGGCAAATTTCAAAGCTTACAAGAGAAGCTGTGCAAAAGAATCATGCAGTGGGGTGAGAATTTTCTGTCCAGCGGAGGGAAGGAAATTTTGATTAAGGCTGTTTTGCAGGCCATAACTGTTTATGTTATGGGGATTTTTAAACTCCCAGATTCGATCTGTGATGAGCTAACTAAGCTCACCCGTAACTTCTGGTGGGGATCTGAAAAGGGGAAGAGGAAAGCACATTGGAAATCTTGGGACTGTATCACCAAACCAAAACATTGTGGTGGCTTGGGTTTTAGGGACTTTAGACTGTTTAACCAAGCGCTGTTGGCAAGACAGGCCTGGAGACTAATAGAAAATCCTCACAGCTTGTGTGTGCAAGTTTTGAAAGCTAAATATTATCCGAATGGCAGTCTGATAGACACTTCTTTCGGTGGAAACGCTTCCTCGGGTTGGAGAGCGATTGAATATGGTTTGGAGCTGTTGAAAAAGGGTCTCATCTAGCGAGTGGGAAATGGCAGGTCAATCAAAATCTGGCGAGACCCATGGTTGCCCAGGGATTTTTCACGAAGACCTATTACTCCAAAAGGAAATTGTAGGTTAAAATGGGTGGCTGATTTGCTAGACCAAAATGGGAGCTGGGATAGGGATGTCATCTCTCAGCTTTTCTGGCCTTTGGATGGTGAAATAATCAAATCAATAAGGCTCTCCAGTCGGCAGGACGAGGATTTTATCGCTTGGTATCCTGATAAAATGGGTCAGTTTTCGATTAGAAGTGCTTATATGTTAGCTGTTCAGCTCGCAAATGCTGGGGAGAGCTCTAGCTCCTCAGGAAATGATACTAAGAAAGTGTGGAATCATGTCTGGAAGTGTAATATCCCCCAAAAGGTCAAAGTGTTCTCATGGAGAGCTATCTCAAACTGTCTTCCCACTATGGTGAATAAAAAGAAACGAAACCCGGAATTGTCGGACGTCTGCAGTTTCTGCGGCCTGGAGCCTGAAGATGTGGCCCATGCTTTGTGGCGTTGTCCGCATGCCAGGCGATACTGGGACCTAATGAGCTCTGAGATGCAAGTACAACGTATCCTGTATGGGTCTGGGGAGGGTTCTGATTGGATCCTTGACTTTCTGGAATCAATTTCAGAGGATGATCGTCCTGTCTTTCTTATGTCACTGTGGCGAATCTGGTATACACGAAATGAGATTACTCACGATAAAGCGGCGCCACCTGTGGAAGTTTCTAAACGCTTTGTTCGGAGTTATGTAAACTCTCTGAAGGAAATTAAAGCTCGGCCGAATGCAAACTTGGGATCTGGGAAGCATGTAATTGGGGAAGACAGGCCCAAGTGCAAGAAGCAATCTGTCTTGGCAAAATGGGAGAAACCTCCAAGTGGATGGATGAAGCTGAATGTCGATGGCTCCTATCAGGAGGATAACATAGGGGAAATCAGTGCTATCCTGCGGAACAGCACTGGAGATGTAATTTTTGCAGCCTGTGGCTTTGTTGAGCAGTGCCAGAGTGCGCTGGAAGCAGAAATTTTGGCTTGCAAGGAAGGTATCGGACTGGCTCTCCAATGGACCCTTCTACCGATTATCATTGAATCTGACTGTGCGGAGGCGTTACAGCTGATTCTTTCTGAAGGGAAGCTGCGATCGGTGAATAAGTTTTTAGTCAGGGAGATCCAAGGCATGGTGAAGGGGGCTAGGGAGATGAAACTGAAGAAGGTGAACAGGAACTGTAATCACATCAGCCATGTTTTAGCTAATAAAGGCAGGTGTGAGTCCCTTATGGACTTTTGGCCGGACGGAAGTTGTAACTTTATTTCCGAAGTTATGTCTATGGACAGCTATGGCTAAGTAATAAAGTTCCTGTTTTTCCCCGCAAAAAAAAAACACTAAGTCCCTATTTATATCTCACCCTAAAATTTTTCACCCTGTCACATCGAACGTTTGAACACATGTACGAAGTATTAAATATAGGCTAAAAAATAACTAATTGCACAGATTGCGACTAATTTGCTAGACGAATCTTTTAAGCCTAATTGCTACGTGATTTGACAAAGTGATGCTACAGTAAACATTTTTTAATGACGGATTAAATAGGCTTAATAAATTCGTCTCGCGGGTTACTGACGGATTCTGTAATTAGTTTTTTTATTAGTGCCCGAACACCCCATGCGGCACATTATATAATACCTAATGTGACACGCCGAAACATTACACCCCTAGATCTAAACACCACCTAAATGTGACACATTCTAGTACAATGAATCTAGACAGAGATATATTCAAATTCTTGTAGTAATAAGATATGTCATATCGTTTTGTTAAGACGGAGAGAGTACACAGTACAATTGCGTTTTTTCATTGAAAAATTACCAACTTGTTGCTTGAAGATGCAGCTACAAACTACTCCCGCTGTCCCACAAATATTCAAACCCTAGATTCCGAAGGTAGAAAGAAGGAGAAGGACAATGGACAAAAATGTCCCTATTTAATAGATAAGTTATGTTGGTGGATAGGTAGTTGAGGGGTATTGAAAGAATAAAATTTCTTGATTTATAAGTCGATGGTAGATAAGAATATAGGAGTTGATTTATTTTGGGACAAATTCAAAATCTAGAAGTTGATTTATTTTAAGATGGAGGGAGTACTATACAACAAAGTAAACACTAGCATAAGAACAATTAATGATATAGAATCTCTAAGAGACTTGGGAGTTGGGAGTTAGGACAGATAGGTTTAGGGTCTATTCACTGCAACTAGCTGTAGCCGCTACAGTGACTACATTGTTTTTACACACTGTTACTGTTGGTGTAGTTGCAGTTGCTGCTGCAGCAAGCTGCACGAACAGGGCCTTACACGTGACAAACAGGTTTGGTGACGATCCAATCATCCAATGGAAGAATCGTTCCGTAGAATTGTTAACCGTTTTAAAATCCCTTGTCGATCGCCACAAAATTAAGGACGAGCCAGCCAAGTTGGCTAGGATATGCACATACAACTTCAGTTCAATTTGGGTGGTGGCTACTATACGGAATCGCTAACTTTCATTTAATAGAACTTTCAGGTACTACAATAAATCCATCAATCTCAAGTCCACAATTAATGTCACGACTTTATTTCTTGGAGTTTGAAATCAACTATACATAAAATACTCCTAGAAAGAAAAACATAAATACAATGTAATATGTTTACTTCCTACATCCTAAAATCAATATTTTAGTTACCTAGTAACCTAGGGCACACGAGAGTACTATCGAAATTCGTAATACTAGTTTAATAGTATAGCCAACTATTAGCTCCAAATCATCTATAGTAATTTAATAGCAAATTCATACAATAGTTGTTTATTATACTATTAATACATGGTCCTACTTGTCATACACACATTACGTCTTAGAGTCTGTAGCCAGCTGCTTTTCTCTCTTATCTTTTATCTCTTTAAAATATTTTTATAGCCAACTAATAGTCTGCTATTGTATCTGCTCTTAGTTGTATTTTGGGCACTTGTATTTTAGAATGGAGGGGTAGTATCTTATTTAGTGTCCAAACTAGCTAGACTGATAGGCTAGATATTAATTTGAAAAAACTTTGTGTACAGTAGGTCAATTTTTTTTTTCATTCTCAGTGTATTATTTTCCAGGTTGTCTATCAACAACTACAACGCTGAGCTTGTGAGGTTAGGGCATCCACAATGTATCACTAAAGTGGGCATTATGCAATAAATGCAGCTCTAAGGACAGGCAATATACATTGTGGAGGTAGTCCATATGGCATTAATTGCTAAAGCAGTCTTTAGCTATATGGGCTGGCCACAAGGAAATAAAATACAATACTTTTTCAGTTCACTGTGTACAAATGAATATAAAATCTAAAGCAGTTGGTGCTGGTGCGTGAGCAGCCGAGCAGGTGTCCGTTGAAGTAGCCATTGCTGCTGGGTGTTGGCTCTCCTTCTCCATGCTCCTATAAAACAGACCAACAAGAGATTTCAGTTTGTATCTCTTCATTTCATCAGGAGATGGATTCATCCAACCAAAAATTCATAGATCTTCTCAGTCAAGACTCTCCAAACCATGCAGAAAAGCCTAGCCACAACTCCCCTCCCCAACAATTCCCCAATAATTTTCCCCAATCTCAGTTTACCCAAAGCTTCAACCCACATTTTTTACACAATTTCTATCCATTTCATTCCCCAAGCAACTATCCACCATATGGTCATTCTCCTCCCAGCTTTCAAGGTACTCCTCCAAGCTTTCAAGGTATTCCACATCAAGGAAATTGGGCACAACCTAATTTAGCCAGCTTACAAGGTTTCCATTTGCAAGAAAATATGGTGCACTCACCAAATCAGGGGTTTGGAACTGCAAACCACCAAGCAATATTTGCACTGCAACACCCCTCAGTTAGAGCCACTCCCAACAGTTCTTTCCATGGGTCGGAGTCATCGACTCCCTGCCCTGCAAGACAACAAGAAGCGCCAGTTAATCTCGAGTCGTCAAGTGAAAGCAGCGAAGACAGAGGTGAGGAGAGCAACACGCACCAATTGGACAGAAGAGGAGAACTTACGGTTAATTAGTGCTTGGTTGAGCAACTCGGTTGATCCTACAGATGGAAATGACAAAAAGGGAGAGTATTATTGGAAGGATGTGGCTGATGAGTTCAATAACAACCGTCCTACAAATGGCCACAAGAGGACAGTCAAGCAATTGAAGACACACTGGGGAAATGTTAAGAAGGACATTGGGAAGTTTTGTGGAGTTTATGCTCAAGTTAGACGTACCTGTACCAGTGGACACTCTGATGACATGATCATGGAAAAAGCTCATCTATGGTACAAGAATCAATCAAATCAGAAGAAGCCTTTCACCTTAGAGTATATGTGGAGAGAGCTCAAGGATCAACCAAAATGGCGAAGTATTATCAAAAAGGAAGAAAACAAGAACAAGAGGACTAAGATTTCTGAGTCAGGAGCTTACACATCCTCATCAAACCAAGAGACTGAAGAAGAATCATCAAACAAAGAGAGACACCCCGAGGGACAGAAGAAAGCAAAAGAGAGATTAAAAGGAAAAGGAAAAGGAAAAGCTCAATCTTCTCCGTTGGGGAACCAGCCATCTCAGAACATAGTTTTGTACAACGAAGCTATGAAAATTAAAGCTGAAGCATTATTGAAATCAGCAGAGGCAACAGCAAAATCAGCAGAGGCAAAACGGGAACAAATAAGGATGGAAAAGTGGCAGGCATACATTAAACTGGAAGAAAAAGATACCTCTAATTTTAGTGGAGAAGCTGAGAAGGCATGAAGCTATGTTGAACAAATTATCTAAAGAACTAGCTGAGGAATAAAGGAGAAGCATGTTATTGTTCCACTGTAGTGCTTAGTGTATGATAAGTTTAGTTGTCAAATTTGGTGTATTGCTGATGTACTTGTCATTTTCAGAATTTAGCTCTAGTACTAATGTAAAAGCTTAGTGTACGATTAATTTAGTTGGCAAATTTTTGTGTATTGTTGATGTACTTGTCAATTTCAGAATTTAGCTCTAGTACTAATGTAAAAGCTTTTACTATATCCCCACTTGTATTATGCAAGAAATCACATTTTTTACCGCACATCTCTGCTCTTAATATTATTTTTCATTCATGAGTCATGATAATCTTCATGAATACATTGCAGTACAGAAAAACCCATACTTACAAGATGTAGGGATAATTTTCTTCGCAATTCAGTTATTACTCCATACCTGCACATATAACCATAATAAGAAATATAGATGATAAGCAAAACATAGCTGTTGGAATAGTGCCAAAAGGAAGAAATAGTTGTCACAAACTAGCTGTTGGAATGCTGCCAAAAGTAAAAAATAGCTGTTGCAAACTAGCTGTTGGAATGCTGCCAAAAGTAAAATATAGCTGTTGCAAACAAGCTGTTGGAAATGTATCCTACATATAAGAGATGAAGTGAGGAAGACACTACTCACATTCTCACTACCCACTTCATTCAGCCTCTTGGAAGATACCACTCCCCTCTCACTGCCCCCTCCATTCAGCCTCAACCAACTTAGGAAAATGTCAGCCAACTCCCAAGAACAATCTAATCGTATAGAAGATTCTCTCACCAGTTCCAATCTAGAAGAGTTGATGTGGGAAGAAATCAATGACCCTATGGAGGCTGAAATTGAAGATCAGATTGAAGCAGAGCTAGAGGCAGAACTAGCTGGACCATCTACTCAGCGTGGGGGCTACACACGCAGGTACATCAACAGGGATCATGAAGAGGATCATAACAGATTGTTTGCTAAATACTATTATGACAATCCTTTGTACACTGATGACCAATTTCGTCGGAGATTTCGCATGAGAAAGCATCTATTTTTGCGCATTGTTGAAGCTCTTGGTGTTTGGTCCCCATATTTTCGTCTAAGACGAGATGCATTTGGCAAGATGGGTCTATCGCCACTGCAGAAATGCACGGCTGCCATCAGAATGTTGGCATATGGTACACCAGCTGACCTTATGGATGAAACCTTTGGAGTAGCAGAAACAACAGCAATGGAAAGCATGATTAATTTTGTTCAAGGTGTGAGGCATTTATTTGGTCAGCAATATCTTAGGAGGCCTACTCAAGAGGATACTCAACGTTTACTTCAATTTGGAGAGGCACATGGGTTCCCTAGAATGTTAGGTAGCCTTGATTGCATGCATTGGCAATGGGAAAATTGCCCGGTTGCGTGGAAAGGGCAATTCCCCCGTGGTGATTATGGAGTATCGACTATCATGCTAGAAGCAGTTGCCTCTGCTGATATATGGATTTGGCATGCATTTTTTGGGGTTGCTGGTTCTAACAATGATATTAACGTATTGGACCAGTCACCATTGTTCACTGAGGTACTACAAGGAAGAGCACCTACTGTTCAGTTTACAGTTAATGGGTCTGACTATAATATGGGATATTATTTAGCTGATGGTATTTATCCAGAGTGGGCAGCATTTGTGAAATCTATCAAGAGACCTCTGAATGACAAAGCTAAATTGTTCGCACAACGCCAAGAATCAGCAAGAAAAGATGTGGAACGAGCTTTTGGGGTTTTACAGAAACGTTGGGCCATCATACGTCACCCAGCGCGTCTTTGGGAAAGGGAAGAACTGGCTGATATCATGTATGCATGTATAATTTTGCATAACATGATAGTTGAGGATGAAAGAGGCACCTATGATATACCGGATGACAATACATATGAGCAAGGACATTTTTCGGCACAAATGGCAGGGCTTCACCATGGCCCAATCTATGGATTTGAAGACGTCCTAGAGAAAAACTTGTTGATTCGTGATCGAGCAACCCATCGTCGTCTCAAGCAAGATTTGATGGAACACATATGGCAAAAGTTTGCTGGCCAACAACATTAGAATTTATTACTTTTATCACTCTTGACTAGTTTATTAGTTTGTTATTAATCTTGTACTTTGCTAGTTTGTATTCATGCTCTCATCTTAATTTGCTAGTTTGTATTCAGGAACCGAATTTAAGATTTACATGTTTCTTGGACTGAGATTTTAACTATTTGTATTTTGACTCCGATTTGTTCTCTTTTACTTTTTTTTAAATAACTCAAGCACAACCAGAACTGGATATTCAACCACAAGATGAACACATATATTATTGTTGCACTAAATGAATCGAGCTGCATGCATACGACTTGCCTCCAGCAACCAGATCAGGACATCAATAACCTCTAGTGCCAAGCAAATCATTAAAATCCCAAAGGAATATAGAACTAGGTGATGATTAACCTGCATTGCATCTGTGCTTTCGTCTCAGCTGAGAGACGTGCCTGCTAGCTTCTTGTCACAAGCTGCAGCCTTGCCGTGGCCGTCCGTCCCCCGCGCGCTAGCTTGCGGGACTCTAGCCGGCCGGCCGCTGCGCGCTCGCCGCTCCCGCGATCGGCCGGATGGCCGTCTGGCCGCCACGCGCTTGCCGCCGGCTGCCGAGTTCACGCGCTCGTCGCTCCCGTGGCTGGCCGGCTCCTGGCAGCCGTCCGCTCCTCCAGATTTCCGCCCGGCGACGGTAGGGTTTCACCTTGCTCGCGCGAATTGGGGATCTGAGGCGGAGGAGAGACGGGGAAGTTGAGAAGAAGAGATATTTTATTTACACGTGGGACCCACCTTATCTTCACATAGGCTACAAACATTGTGAGATTTGCTATAACTGATGCCTCCTGCTGTGGGACCCACTCTTATGGGCTGCTTCATACATATACATTGCTCATGCCCTTATATATTTGCTTCCTACATTTCTCTCCTCCGAACTTCTGCACATGAGAAGAAACAATGGGTAGGTTCATTCACTATTCTAAGTGGCAGGAAGTAAAGACTGTCAACAATTATGCTTTGTTTATAGGATACATGTCGATGGCCGTCAGGGTGATGGGCTATCTTGTGGTTTTATGGACAACCGTTATCCTCCTTGGCGGTTTTGTATCAGCGCTAGAGAAGAAGGATTTTTGGTGTTTCACAATAATTACCCTCGTCCAGACAATCGGGTTAGTTTGGTTTTCAATTAGTCTTGCATATTCAATTTTTCACTACTAGGGTTGCCCCGTGTATTAGAATAGCTAGATTTGCTATTGATTATACTTTTTATATATAACTGATATAGGAATTCAGCCCCCATGTCTACATATGGATATACACAATCAAAGAGTTGCTGCCTATACCAAATTTGCTATGGAATTACAATTGTGAATATCACCGCTAGCCATGCTCAGTATCAATAATGAAGTTATAACTTATGAAAAGAATTAGACAATATAGATTATTAATGTGTTTATCAATACAAAAATAAAGAAATTCCAATTGATTTACACTGGGAGGAAAAGGCGCCATGCATATACTACCTCTATGCACAAACATATGACATTGGTTAGTTTAATTTTGAGCTAAGCAACGTCAAACAAAAAAAATATGGAGGGAGCATTAATTTCCTTTCACTCTTTCAGGGTCTCCACTGTATTTCCGAGAGAAAATCTGAAGAAAATTGTGTTGTCGTACATCCTGGGCTTTGTATCGACTACATATACCTTTTACGTACCCAAAAACAGCAAGGATGACAAGAATATTAGAGCTGAAAATATGAAGGATGAAGATGGTGATGGTGGGCGCAGGACCAGCAAGGAAAAACCCAAGCATTGGCCACGGTGGCTGCGTAGATTGGCGGCATTTGTCGCTTATCTGGTACAGCAGCTGGTGTTCGCCGTCGTAGCGGGGCCTCTCGCGCTTGCCGTAGCGGTGCTGTACGCTTGCGGGCTGGTCATCACCACCGGCCTCGCCGCTTGGCGCCTGCTGCATCGCGACTACGGCGACGGCAGCAACAACCTGCGGCCGGCGCTGGACGTGCTCTACACCATGGTACTCCTCCAGGGCGTGCTCTCCTACTACCGCTTCTCCTCGGACTTCTGGCAATCAAGGCTGACAAACAACGTGGCCAAGGCGTACAACTTCCACCACTGGCGTCATTTTTATGCATTCGTATCGTTGCGTAGGTACATCCATGAAACGAGGATCGGGTGCGAGAAGGACCCGTCCTTCGCCAAACGAAGGAATTTGGTTAAGTATGCCGTGGACACCATGATTGAGTCTGAATTTCCAAACTGCTGGAGCTTCGTCTGCGGGGCAAGCATCCTCGGTGCGCTTCTTGAGAACCCCAAGCTGGAAGAGCAACACAGCCTCATCAAGGAGCACCTGGCCTGGTCGCCCTCCGGCGCCGGCGACTTGCTCCAGAAGCTGGTTCAGTCGTTGGATCCCGCGAGGGGATACCATTACATAACAAGCATCTCCGCGGCGCGGATCCTTGCACACCTCGCCGGTGATCTCCGCCGCGAGCAGCTCAATTTCCCGCAAGGCATCCACTCGATTGCCTCGCTGGTGGAGCCCCCCGGCGATGAGAAGGGTGACGAGTACAACGCCTTGGAACACTTCCAAGAGCTGATGGTGGAGGGCCTTCGTCTCCTTGCGAAACTCGTCTCCGACGAGGAATGGTGCCGTGTCATTGCTGAGAAGGAAGGCCTGCTCGCCAAGATCATGGTGCCACTACGTTCTGACATGCACCACACTAAGTACCACTCCGTTTGTAGTGATTCGGAGAGGCCGATCTGCAGAGAAATGATCGGCGCGTCCATCCAAGTGATGCGCCAATCTGGTGACTACTCCTGGCGCCACCGGCGAGATGGTACGCTGTGAAATCTCAGGCAACACGGACGCAATGACCAGCCTGGAGAGTATTGTCCACTGCGACCGATGCGATGATTGCCTGCTCATGGAAGGAGCACTGGAGATCTACAGCCGACTGCGGCGTGGGGACGACGCACCTTCGACCATAGCAACAATGAGAGAGCATTTCATCAAGAGACTGGTGCTCATCTTCACTCAACATACCACTGCTGAAGATGACAGAGTCGATTTGCTGGCTGGTGAAATGCTTGCGAAGCTATGTTCCCATGGCAAAGAAAACACCACCAAAATCCTGCGAGCAAAACAAGATGTGATCGGTGATCTCACCGGCATGCTTGAAGACAAAATCACCAAGTGCGGTATAATCGCAGCGCAAATTCTGGAGCATTTGTGTATTCATCACTCTGACGATGATGAATGTGCCCAGAACCTCAAAGAACGTATAAAGTTTGGGATGCTAAAGGTACCAACCAAAAAAAAAAGAAGAAGCATGCATATGCTTTGTTTTTGTCAACATGTTATACTGATGATAGACTTACTTTTGCAGGTGCTTGCAAAACCGCGTGACGAATATGTGAATAGAGAAACTCTCACAGCAGTTTTATCTCTAAGTGTGACGATATCACGCAACTTAATGAATGCCCGAGATTTACCTCCTCTGTTCGATGCTATTACCAGTGAAGCCGGCGGCTTCAGCATTCTAGGTAAGGTCCAGCTCCAGAAGATGATCGAGAGATCAAGTTGTTTAAATACGGCCAACGAACTGAAAACAGTGAAGCTTGTCGCGGATTTATTAATACTAACTGTTAAACATGGAAGCCGCGACGCCATACGGGACGCAAAGGAATTGATTGAATCACTGTCCGAGGTTGCGAAAGAAATATCGGATACTGAGAACTTCATGGTTATCGCTGGCGGTAGCGACCCAAAGACCCTTGATTCTTTCGTGAAAGAAGCAGAGGACCAACTCCTGCGCAGAGTCGGCAGAGAGGATACACCTGAAATGGCAGTGGTAATTCAACATCCTAGCTCTGTCAACGGAGCCCAGGCAGAGTAAATCATATGCATCATTTATTCGAAAATAAAATCATGTTCAGCCTGTACTTTGTTAATCTGTACTCTAACAATCGTTGCAAAAGGAATTTTAGTATCCTTGAAGAGGTACCATTGGATGCCATCTATTTTGAGGTAGTTGTCACATCCAATGTTCATTTGCTAGGCATGATAGGCATTAGGCTGTAGACAGTGCCTATCGCTAGACATACGGCTAGTCATCGTCTTCTATTTTATGATATCTCCACTTCTCTTCCGGCGAGCAGGGGCACCGGTGTCATTGTTTAGGACAAAAAAATACGAAAATATCTCCCTCTATGTTTAGAGAGAAAATAAGTGCGGGCGTGCCAGTGTACCTAAGTACACAAAATAAAACAAAAGAGATATAGAAACACATGATCTTTATTAATTGAATTAACAACATACATTTTCCATGTATAATATAAAATGCGCGCGCCATTGCCTGTCGTTGGACAAATCTTGACATCAGCGATGTGGTCTTCTGATTCCCAGGGCCTCGAGAAGCTCCTGGTTAATTACCTCTGCAGGTTTAGGCCTGCAGAGAACCTCCGATTAAGCTGCTAGTGGTCGTCTCATTGTCTTTGCTTCGCATTCAACATGCATGGTTGTGATGGTGATGTAAATGTGGGTGCCGGCAGCGATCCACGGCCTCGTCGGTCCGTGCGCCGGTGTTGGTGACGTAGCCTTAGCGTCGGCTTCGCCCGCCCTCGTCGCTCCGCCTCATCAGTCTTGAGCGACGTGGTGGTGTAGATAGATTGATCTTCAGCATGCATGGAACTCGCGTAGCTTGGACGGTAGAGAAGTCACAGCAGCGACATCGGGATAGTATTAAAGGGAAGAAGAGTTGATGACATCAGTTGGTGTACGCGACAGCCGAATATACATGGCTGGGCACCTCCTGGCTAGGTGAGATCAAAGTGACGAAGAGTTGACAAAGACGGTTGGTGTAGATGGCAGCCGGAATAAACATGGCTGGGCACCTCCTGACCCATCATGCCCCTTATACGGCAGGGACTTGTAATGAAAATGTTGATGAAGAAGTCGGTGCAGACAACAGCCGGATAAACATGGCTTAGCACCTCCTTTAGATGATGGGTCTACTATTGATCCAGTTGATATGATAACGAGCCCGTAAAAGGGGCTCTATGAGGGCGCCGGTAACGACGGCGACCTTGGAAGAAGTAAATGCCTCGTCAGCGGAACCGTTGAGGGCATTTGTTGGTGTAGATTAAGCATGAATGGTTCCCTGGCATCACAGATGACACCATTCTTACTTTATGCTGATGTAGACTAGCGACGCTCCAATACACGGACAAGCGGCGACATCTCGATCCCAACGAAGAGGGAGGGAATCACGGACGGACAACATCGATCGTGATTAAGAGGAGAGAGCACAACAGACGGATGGCATCTCATCTTGGCGTGATGAAGTGAAAGCATTGTAGACAGATAGCGTCTCATCATGTGGTGTAGAGAGAGAGATGTCACGGATGGACGGCACGACAACTCCGGCTTGGCGAAGTGCAGGCGTCATGGAAGAACTTGATGACGATTCCGCCTAGACGAGGTGAAGTCTTCCCGAACGGACTTGATGATGGTGTGCGGGCACCAAGCAATGGCGCTCCGGCTTTCTCCTCGAACGGCATGGCGATGAGTGTGAGGAAAGTGGCAGGACCGTCGAAGATGATTGAGTAGACATTGACGGTGACTAAAGAGACCGCGACGAGTGTGAAGGCGTCGCCGGCCAGTGGAGTCTCAGTGAGACGTCCTCACACAATAGTGATCACAACAGGGGCATCTTTAGGGCTCGGCGTCGGTGCGATGATGCCGGCACAACGGCGGGCTTTGATGGGGTGGCACTCGGTGGACAGTGCTACCAGCAGCTTGATAGAACAGCGAGCGTCTGGGCGTCGCCGATACGGTGGACGAGATGATCTCCTGGTTGACGATGGCTCTGATCCATCAGGATGGCATGGGCGGCTCAGCGACTTGACGACGTCCGCGGATGCGGGTAGTTCAGCGACATTCCGGCAGTTCGAATGAGACTTCTGTCGGGCACGGCTCAGTAGTAACCATGCTTGCTCCGATGACATTCTGCGCGCTCCGGCGGGGTGGCATGATGTCGACCTCTTACAAATTAGCATGCCCGACGAGGTGGTTGATGTAGACGGCAGCCGGCCATTTAACCACAGCTCAGCATCGAATTGAAAAAGCTTGAAATCAACAGGATTTGTTTAGCCATCGCATTGACAACTTCTTATGCATGGCACTGAAGCATGGTGATGATGTGTCACCCTCCGGTTGGTCGGCCACGTTGCCACACCATGTATTTGCTGAATGGAGTTGACTCGGCATGCTGCTGCTTTGCTTCGGCTTGTGTTGCTGCCATGCGATGTGTGTACATGAGGCCGCCGATCGCCGATCTGATCTGTAGCCCGACGATATTTGTTGATGTAGATCGATAACCACCATCATCTGCACGCGGCGCCGCTGCCATCGTGAGGAAGATAGTATCGCCGTCGTGAGAACAGTAGCAGCGCCGAACATCGGCCGCGTCGGGGGAAAGGGCTGCGGCCATGATTTGATACGCTGTGCGTGGTGGAAGCAGGAGTCTTGGCAGTCGACGGTGGCTCCGGGCCTCCGGCGATCCTGGCGTGCCCCAGCAGAGCAGCGTCACGACGACTCCGACATGGTCAGTCCGCCGCGGTGAAACTTGCAGCCGACAAAGCGAGGACGCCCGACATCTCGGCATCTCGGCGACGCCGCAGTTTCAGGTGGATGCATCACCGGCGACTCGATTGGCGGTGTCGACTCCAGGGATAACCAGCATCTCGTCGACTCGGATGAGCGGTGGGCGGTGGCGCCGATACGATTACTTCCCGGGGAGCACGTACAGAGGATGCAACTACTACGGCAGCAACAGCACCCGCATATGTACATCTCCTACGCATGCATGCATGTTCTGCAACAAGAAAAGAAGGAACCAATCTAATTAGTTCTTTTGCCTTGAGCAGCCATTGATCTCTGCTTGCCGATGATCAGAGCGCCGCGTCTCCTGCCGGACGCCGGTGCTCCGGCCGAAGTCGCTCGCCGCCACCGTGGATGGGTTGATCGTCAATGGATAGATGTGTGTTGAGTGTTTTCGGGATGGATGTGTTATGTGTGTTGAGTGTTCTCGGGATGGAAGTGTGTTGATCTATCGATCTTGTTGATGCCAGGAGTTGATGGATGGATCCTCTCTTTTGCCGTGGTTCTACATCTGTGCCCCCTCGACTCCATGATCAATCTGTAAAAAAGAAAGAAAGAGAAGGCCTGGCGTGCTGGTGTAGATGACCGTGCACTGCCTCTCTCCTCTGTCATTCTGTCCAGCCGCCGGCCGGCGTGCTGTACCTTCTCATCAGGAAGAGGGATGGCTGGACGAATGTCGATCGCCTGGCGCCGTCTCTTGGGTGACCGCCTGTACCCTCGCCGAGCGTCGGATGCGCCGGCCGGCAGCCACCGGCTTCTCTCGTGCCGTCGTGTTCTTCCTCCCTCCGTGTTCTGCCTTCGGCGCAGCCGCCGCCAATGGATGGATTGATGGGAGTTGAATGACTGTCCATGCATATATGTGCTGAAAGCCTGAAATATACATGTAGAGAGAGAAAGAGATAAACAGAAGAACTGGACAATGTTAGATGAAATCGTCCTGGACGGCGTGGCGTCGATCTTGTCGCAGCCTTCGTCTCCGGGTAGATTGATCTTCCAGCATCGAGCGGCGCCCCCGGCGGGCCACACTTTTGGTGTGCCATGCTGCGCCGCCTTCGGCCGGCCGGCCGCGCACACGTTGGCGTGCCCTTCCGCCGAGGCCCTGTGTTTTCTCTTGCGTGTGTTCTTCATATATGTGTAGATGGATCTCCTTCTTCTCTGTTGTAGTTCTCCATCTCTGCCCCCCCCCCTTATGGCTGACGAGCTGTGCCTTTTATAGGCGGTAGCCGCGTACGCGAGACCCGGCGCCGCCAGCGTGTATACGACTGCGTGATCCGATATCTCCGCACAGTCGCGCGCGATGGATATATACTATCCGGCAGTTTGTTTGGATGGATAGAGCTTGACCGTGCTTATCTTCTGATCTGTTTGTTGCTTCGATCAACTTGTAGATGAGGGCGGCTATGCGCATGCATGTATTAGCTAGACTGGGCTGCCATTCTTGTTGGTTTGCCGGTCTGCTGGGCCATCGACGGAGCTCTCGACCACACGCGTGCATGTGTGAGACTTTAATTAATTTGTTGGCTTGCTCTCTATAGCTCAGTGCGTGCACACACATATATGCTTATATGTATAGCCGAGCACACATGCATACGTATTCAGGCTATGTGAATCAGTACGTCATAGTACATGCATGCATTTGCATGGCCCATGCACGAATCAATATTTAATGAACTGGCTTAGCACATTGGCATTGCTAGCTAAACTGGTTCCTGAAAATGCCCATCAATATGCAATATATATGTGGTTATATATTTTGAAAGTATGTACAAAATCCGGTCAAACAGTCATCAACCTGTTGACCAGTGCGAGCTCGAACTTAACAATAACAATACATCATACATGCTAGTACTTGATTGTTTTCGGTCCAAATTTTCGAATCGAAATTTCCAGAATTTCCGAAATTTTGGGTCTTTCTATGGGACGGACAGCGCATGGCGGTGTGGTAGCCGGACTGCTGGAGCCGAGGTGGAGCGATTGGCTACGGCATTCTCCGCCAGGGATAAAGCTATGCTGCCAGAGGAGCAAGAGCGACGTGATCCTGATCGGCGTACCGTAGTTCCAGATCCGTAAAAAGGGGAGTGGTCGGATCTAGCTGGAGCCCGGGCGATCACCATCACCTCCCTCGATCGCCCTTCCTCACCGGCGCTGGAGAGAGGGGGCGGGCAGCGGCCGGCCTCAAACCGCCAAAGAAGAAGCGACAATGTGAACGTGGCCTCAGAACGACGCCTTGGGTCTCCCTGTTGGAGTGTATAAAAGTGAATTGCCCGTCTTTCCTTATCAGCTTAGGTTTTAGGTGCAACTGGTTAGTGCATGCAACTTAATATGGTATCAGAACCAGAGGTTTTGAGTTCGAATCCTGGCGGCCGTCGCGCCGCATGAAACTACCACATCGCCGTCGCCCCACCTCCTCCAAGTAGAGCTCCGCCCGTGGCCTGCGAGAACGGTGCCCCATACCGTGCTCGACCTACAGGCTACAGATCAAATCCTCCGCGAATCTTCGCCGGTGCAGCGCTCCACCCATCACCTACCGCCTAGGCTCGTCGCCGGCACCTTATTGCCGTCACCACTCACCAGGTCATGTGACGTGGAACCGTGCCATGGGACATTGGGACCCGGTTGTTGGATTTCTTACTAGCAGAACAGAAGTTTTTCGTGGAATCCTTTTTCTTTTCTTTTCTTTTCTTTTTTGTAAATCACTCAAATCTTTCGTGGGAGTACTGGTTTTTCCACCTCTATTCCGCACATTGTGTCATCGTTGTGCATGCCTTTCTAGCTTTTGGGGTAAAAGGTGACTAACCTATTTCTGTTTTTTTTTTTGTTGATGAAAAGGCAATTTGATTTCTTTAATTCCCTTTCATTTATACAACAGTACTGGAAAATACTAACAGAGTTTACACGACTGGTTTGTTATCATCCAACACAAATCTTCTCAAAATGCAGATAATGATATATCAGCAAGGCAAGAAGCTAATTAACCCTCTGCTCATACGCCTACGCCATTGGGTTTACCTCTACAGAGCCACGGAGGTAGATTATGCCTTCCTTCTGTCCATCCACAATCTCCTGCGCTTCAATAAAAAGGGAGACGAGAGTCTTCAACGGAGGTTTTGCGCCATTGTTGCTATCGGCTAAGCTCAGGACGCCATCTACGCCGTACATCTGAATGGAAACTTCGGACAGATAGCCCATCAACTCCTTCAGGTTTTCCTCTTCTTTGGCGTAGCTGCTGCTCCTTAGTCTTAACATCGATATGAACATCATAAAAATTAGCTTCACAATTCTCAGCCAGTGAGCCGTGAGTTCATAGTTTGGCAAGATGTAGATGCATACCATCTCCTTTAGCTTCCCAATGGGAGTAAAGGTAGCATCTCCAGGGAAAACCACATCAACCAGTTGGACCAAATCTTGATCTTGGCTTACATCAAATACTGTTGTAATTAAATATAGGAAAGCCTCCAGCAATTTGCTGTCTACACGGAGCCAATTGTCTCCATCTTGGACTTCAATACTTACGCTACCGGGTGGTGAAAACATAGCTTTATCTGCTTTTGTTCCCGCCGTTTGGATGTCTCCACACCCAAACATTTCTCCAAGCACCTGAAATAATAAATTTGTACAGAAGTTTAATTTGACAGACTATATAGGTGCGTGGCTAGGAATTGAGATAAGAGTTCAGATCACACTATATATGTGCTCCCTTCGTTCCAAAATATAAGAACCTAGTATCAGATATGATATTTTATAGTACTACGAATCTGCACAAACAACTTATCTAGATTAGTAGTAATAGGAAATATCTAATCCAGTCCTAGGTTCTTATATTTTGGGACGGAGAGAGTATTACCAATGGTTCACTATTTGATACAAGGATTAATTACCTTTGGCATCACATCCTTGATGACTTTGTTCAATTCACCGAGGTACTCGTCGTCATAGGTGTAGTGGTTATATAGGTGAGCTAGGATTTCCGCTGCACTTATTCTGCTCTCGTTTTCTTTAGAGTGTAGAAGCATGTCTTTGAGCACACCAACGACATTGCCGTCTGCCTGGAGGATGACCACGGCAATGCTTTGGCTTTCGACGCAGAGCATCGCCAATGCTTGAGCAGCCGATTTTCTGACAGACATATCCTTGTTATCATCGGTGAAGATGCACAGCATATACTTGGCTAATTCTTCTCTGCTTGCCACGCTCGTACTCATAGATAAAGATTTATCAAAGGCTAGCTGGCTGAGGATCTTGATGGCCATGATTTGCAGCAGTGGCTTGCATTTGCTACACTTGGGAATGCTGTCCATGGTGGTGACAGCCTCCTTGTTGCCAGAGATCTCACGGCGGAGCCTGACGCCGGTCACTCCGGGAGCAACGACGAGAAGTGCCACCAGTTGCATCGACTCCTCTACAACCGAGTGCCACACCTCGTGGTCGATGCGGTGGAGCAGGTCGGAGCTCATGGGCGCCATGATCCTTGAGAGGAGACCTTCAGTGTCGCAGATGACTCTACAATTGTCACTGTGAGCAGCGAGGATCCGGAGGATTTTCAGGCCCCAGTGAAGCATCTCCATACACTGGTCAAGCTTCAGGGTGTCCTTGAACTGCTCCAGCTGTGGACCTGTGGTCGATAGCTCGAGCATGTCTGATATGCATTCGATGCCTCCTGGCAGCTTCTTGAGGTGGATGTCGACAGCGAAGTATTCGACTATCCTCGCTGCACTCTTTGTCATATTGTTCTGAGTTGGGCTGCACCTGGTCGCAGCCTCTAGGAGCTTGACGAGTATGTGGGAAGAAGACGCGGATCCGGTGAGCAGCTGCCTCATCAGCGCATGGTGTCCCTGCAACTGGCTTTGCACGAGAGAGTCGATAATCCTCACGCCATTGATGAAATTGTCAGTGTCGATCGACGAAGATTCTATCAGTCCAATGGCATGTGTGACCATGTTCCTTCCTCTGACGAACGACGGGTCCTTCATGCATCCAGCCATGGTTTCGACCGCGTACTCACGAACAGGTGATTTTGCCCCATAATTGAGATTGTACTTGTCGGCCACTTTCCTCTCCATCTTCCTTCCCGTTGTGATGAAGGTCATGCCGTAGAAGTAAAGCACGCCCTGGGCAAGAGCCATCAGGTAGAGGACGCGCAACGCCGGCTTCTGCAGGTTGGCGCCGCCATCGGCGGCGGCGTTGGCCATGCCGAAGCCCAAGTCACGCCGTGTGAGGCGGAACAGCGAGATCGCGGTGGAGATGTACATGCCCAACGTGTAGACAAACACCAGAGGGACAACAATGGTGGTGAACACAAGGAGCCGAAACAACTGCAACGTAGCATACGCTACGATGGGCCCATGGTCAAGTATATAGTGTTTCAACCACTCGGCCACAATCTTGGCCGGAGTCTTGGCCGGAGTCTCGGCCGGAGTCTCTGCCGGATCAGTCTCTATCTTGCGAAGTGAAGAATATGCAAGAGTATCTGCCGTAATCTCGGCCTTTTGCTCGGTCGAAGTTGGAGGCGACTTGGGTGTGCTAAATGCTGTAGCGAGTAAGCGGGTGACTCCAGAAAACCCCTCTATAACTCCACCAGTAATGGCACCGGATGCCCTGTTGTTAATTTATATTTGATCTCAGCTCATAAGTTTTCTCGAGAGAGGGTCAACGGATAAACATAAACTACATTAGGCGATTTTCATATGCAATTTTGCACGAAATTCATTTTGCATGTAGAATAGGATTCGAGTTGCATCTCGACCCAGTGATTAGCCTGTCCTCACCAGATCTGATGGCTGCGAAGATTTCACTGTCACGCCATTTCTCCATGACAGGGAGGTGGCATCAACTCCATCTGTCCTAAAATAAATCCAATATTGGATTTATATGTGTGACCACCTTCATTTTTAGGATTAGATTTATTTTAGAACAAAGGGAGTAGAGACGACAAGAGGGTAGATCTGGTCACCAAGTCACATCTTGCCGACAAAGACAGGTTGACGGTTGAATTTTGATTTGGCTGGACTTTTCACTTTTTGGTTCTTTTTGAAAACTTATTTAATTTGTAAATAAATCCCTAAAAAAGCTTATTCTGGGAATGGATGCTTTTCGCCGAGTCAACATCGTCATTGTATTGGTCCAAGATAACAGAGCCAATAGCATTGATAACGTCCCCCTAACCTCCTCGTGAAAGGTAGGTGGTCACTTATATGAAGGGGGCTAATTAAGTAAGGGGGGCGACGCCATTGTTTTTGGCGCCGATGACATATTTGTACATATTTTTTTATTATAAATAGGTCCCTTTTTAATTATAAATAGGTCATTTTTCAAATTGTTTTACAAGTAGGTCCTCGACGTCAATAACATTGACATTGTCCCTTTTCTACAAGTGACTTAGCTTTCGCGGCAAGCCTATAGAGATGACGTCAATGTCATTGGCACCGTCATGTTGTTAGACTAAGGTGCTGAAACGTTGACGTTGCAAAAGGATTCATTTCCGAAATAAGTTTTTAGGGTCTATTTGTAAAATAAATTTTTAAAATCTATTATATTATTAAAGGAATAGAAAAAGGAGCCTCCACGTTCGCTCTCATGGCCTAGAAATTCTCACATTAATCGGAGAAAAAGAAAAAGCAGAGTCCATATAGAAATACAATTTAGAAATAGCTGAAATTCGGAATTAAAAAATAAGAAATATTAGAAGAGGAGACTATAGTCCATATAGAAATACCTATAGGAAATAACTGAAATTCGGAATTAAAAATAAGGAATATTAGAAGTAGAGTATAGAGTCCATATAGAAATACAATTAGGAAATAATAGAAATTCGGAATTAAAAAATAAGGAATATTAGAAGTAGAGTATATAGTCCATATAGAAATACAATTAAGAAAAAAATAGAAATTCAGAATTAAAAATAAGGAATATTAGAAGTAGAGTATAGAGCCTATATAGAAATACAATTAAGAAAAATTAGAAATTCGGAAATAAAAAATAAGGAATATTAGAAGTAGAGTATAGAGTCCATATAGGAATTTAAAACTAAAATTCAGAATAAACATAATGAAATTAAAAGTAGTGTTTAGAGTCCGTACAAAAATACAATTTACAAATAACTAAAATTCAAAATTAAGAAAAATATGGGAAGAAGAGTTTAAAGTCAATATAGGAATAAAATTTAGTAGTAACTGAAATTTGAAATTAAAAATTAAAGAATATTGAAAGATGAGTTTAGAGTCCACATAGAAATACAATTAGAAATATTAAAAATTCAGAATTAAAAAAATATATTAAAAGACGAGTCTAGAGTCCATATAGGAATATATATAATTTACAAATAACTATAATTTGATATTAAAAATAATTAATAACTAACACGTATATAAAATACAATATGAATATTACACATTAGTAGTTTCGTAAAGTTATTGCAAAATTTAAAATTATGTTGTCATTTTGATATATTTGAATAATACAATTCCCACGTTCACTATCACCATCTAAAAATTCCCACGTTAACTGATAAAAAGAAAAAAAAGTCCACGTAGATATACAATTTATATCTAAAATTCAGAATAGAAAATAAAAAAGAGTTCATGTAAAAATACATTTTAGAAAGAACTACAATTTGTATAAAAATTTAAAAATAATTAATATTGAGAGAAGAGTTCATGTAGAAATACAATTCTGAAATATCTAAACTTCGGATTAAAATTAAATGGTATTAAGAGAAAGAGTCCACATAAAAATATAATTTAGGAACATGTAAAATTCGCATTAAAAAATAAATATCTGATAAGCAAAGATTCATGAAGGAGTTCAGTTTGGAAATATTTTAAATTAGGATGAAAAATAAATAATATTATGAGAAAAAAAGTGTAGTTTCTAAGAAATGCCATTACAAATATCTTCAACACAGGGTAAAGTGAAATATTATTAAGTAAATATTTGGTGTAAAAATACAATTTAAAATATATGAAATTCAGATTAAGATGTGAAAGTATGTACGCTATTATGTGAGAAAAATATTATAATGATGATATCCTTGTAATCTGTTGGGGACAAAGGAAGTAAGTAAACATATTGTAGAGGCCGGCGGCCACCAAGCTAATAAGCAAGTAAACAACAAAAATATTCATAAGAGGTACAGGGGGACTAACTCTTTTGTCTGGCAGAGGGTAATCATCGTGAGACACCAAAAGTCCTTCTTGTCGAGCAGGGAGACGAAGCCACCAAGCAGGACAACGGTAGACCAGGTGAAAATCAGGACGCCGAGCCCAGCCACGACCCTCGACAAGTATTCTTTGAACACAGCATGGCTGTTGATATACCGCACTTCAGGCCATTCTTCGGAATTTTGATTTACTTCACCGGCCATTCTTGCCCTGAACATAAAGCTCCAAAACCTAACACATAATAGCAACCTCTAGCTAGCTAGCCAGGCCCTTAAGTAACATCCTAACGCTGCTTCAGGGTATAACTGACGACATATGATTGTTTACACCAAGAACTAACCATATTAGATCTTGACCAAATTACACCAATTAATCTATCCTAGGTCGCTATTAAATAGACTTAGCCAGGCCTTTTAGTCATGTGTATTAAGGTGGTCGATTTAGATCGCCACTTGAAATCGTCGTCGTTTGTACTAATGGAGCATGCATCTTTCAGACTACTTGAATTTTTCTTGACGATCGAGTTGACAAGGCTTTGTTAACATCTCTGTACGTGAATCATGTGTTGGACTCTCTGGCATGCATGGTATAGTATGCCCATATGCTCTGACAAAATGCATGTGCTGCTTCTGTAAGCTACTTCCTCTATCCCAAAATGTAAGCATTTTTGAGGTTAGCACGGGTATTAAGAAAGTAGGTGAGAATAATTGAAGAAGGTGTGTGATTGGTTGAAAAGAGAAAGTAGGTGAAAAAGAATGGTTGTGATTGGTTGAGAGGAGAAGGTAGGTAAAAAAATAGCTTTATTTTGGGATAAAGTATTGTGCTAGAAATAGCTATATTTTAGGACGGAGGTAGTAAGCTATAGGTTAATTGATTTGGAATAAACTTGTTTATGTTCATGTGGAGGCGAGAGGCCTGAGCCCTGCCAATTTAAAAATGTACGATGATGTTGCTCAAAGGGCACGTGTGGGACGATAAACGGCGAACATCGCTGCCTCTGGCACTGTCGATCAGTTGGAGAAGAGGAAGAACCATTTGTTGTCGAAGATGAATCACAAGGAAACACATACTAATCTAGAATGAAAACATGCTATAGAGCAGGTACAATAGCAGGCTATAAGCCAGCTGCAAACATATTTTAAGAAGATAAATTAGGAGAGAGAAGAGCAGTGGGCTACAGATTTGTAGCCAGCTGTAGCACGGACTCCAAGACGCAGTGTGTCTATGACAGGTGGGACTAGATATTAATAGTGTAGTATGTAACTATTGTATGAATGAACTACTAGATTGGCTATGGATGAATTGGAGCTAGTAGTTGGCTATACTATTGAACTTGCTCTAAGGGGTGGTCTAAAATTTGTAAAAGTATATAGCCCAACATACAGTTTACTTTAAAAAAATCTTCTCGAAACGGGAAATAATCTCGCATGCATGATAATTCCATTCCAATAATTATCTCCAATGTCCTACAACAAATAGCCATAAAATTGTTTTTATGATACTCGCTCCGTTTTATAATGTAAGACTTTCCAGCATTGCCCATATTCATATAGACATCTATATGAATATGGGCAATGCTGAAAAGTCTTATATTATGAAATGGAGGAAGTATCTTTCCGCATGTACGAACTCTTAGTGTCCTCTAGAAAAAAAATGCCTTGTACTATTTCTTAATAGAGCTCTACCAGGATGTTCTAGAACGCCTTAAAAAGAAAGCTAGCTAAAAATTGCACAGCGTTGCTCAAGTCGCACCCATGTTATAATATAGACAATATTGTTGCTGATCAACGTTTCTTCAATACGCCAGAGGAGCATCACGTGTGAGTAATGTACAAATGTAAACGTGAGTTCAATGTAAGTGAGAATGTGAGAATAACATACAAAACCACGCCAACGAAATCTGAAAGTAAACCGTACCATGTTGTTGATACATGAGTGCAGGGGCGGATCCAACGTGGGTGCAGGGGGACTCAAGTGCCCCCTACACCCACAAAACCCATGGATACCCCCCTAAGCCCCCCCTTCAATTTTTTCATCATAGTTGATAAGATAGGAGATGCTAAAGGTCTCATAATAGCATTTTAGTATAGTTTAATACTGAGATTATGTGTTTATATCGGTGTATTCGGTATGTTGAGTCCCCCCAACTTTTTATTTCTGGATCCGCCCCTGCATGAGTGATGATAAACTAAGAGCGCATGTGAGCACTGACCAACCTAACTGTAACGGCTCAAGGTAACATGTGACATTTCTTCCAAACAATTATCGCATCCAAACTTCCAACACATATACAAGAGGGAACGAATATGTTGCCATGCTCCTGGTGGTCATCCACCCCTTACAGACCGATCCATTGCCAGCTCCACCATCATCAACATCAATAATTGTTGTCTCACCGTGTTTCATCCAACATGTATAGTTCTTCAAAAAACCTCTTCTTATCAGATGAGCATGTGTTTCACACTAACTGATTTATATATCCCTGTAACAGCTATAGGTTTCAAGCCGTTACATACTGGGCCTTAAATGATGGCTCAAGAGTGTTTTGCCTATCTGTAACGGCCGTCTATGCCACCCATTATAGATGCGGGAGTCTGTAACGATTCTGTTTGGTCCGTCACAGATAAGAGTATTTGTGTGCTAGTGGCAAGTGCAATTTGAGCAACCTCGTGTATTTGTATAGTATATTTGCAGCAATGGCAACGGCAGCAGCGGCGGCGTGTTTTCCAGTGAACCTCCAAAACAGAGCACTTCTTCCAGTTTTCCACGAATTATCAAGATTTGTCCTAATAATGGCAAAGTGATGGTTCTATACAAATCATTTTATAGAAAATTTGTCTCAGTGCACCTGAACTTGTTTCAAGGTTGACTAATTTGTTTTAGGGGTGCAAGCGGGCTAACCCGCGAGTTTACTTATAGGTCAAATAAATAATAATTCATGGGTTTTCGTGTCGTGGCGCGGCTTGCAACATCTAAATATACAAGTGGATCGATTCATAAATCCATTTATAAGTTAAATTAATAGTTAACCCGCAAGTCAAACCTACGGGTTACGCATTACTTTTGCCTATAAGAGGATTCGCGGACAAACCCACTTGCACCGTTAATTTGTTTTCCAGTAGCAAGCGATGGCTTGCACTGCTAATCCCAGAGCTAAAACATGGACGATCATGCACTCCCTTCGAGCCAGCAGCACCTGCAACCTTCAGAGGGCTCAGATGCCATTCATCAAATAACGGTAAGAAACGCATTGTTGCTCTTCCAATTTTGTTTCACCAATTCTTTCCTGCAAAATGAAACAGATGAAAGAAATGGCTATTGTTTGCTCCATCACGAGAGATAAAAAGGGAAGCAGAAGCAGATCATAGAGGCAGGTTTTCACCACCAGGAACAGTCGTCGTTGAAGTCCAAGACGATGGCAATCGCTGGAGCACCTCCAACTACATCTCATCAGCCAAAGAGTGGGCAGTATATGGACATGGATCTACTGGCAGCTTTGTTTTCCCTTACTGCAACGATATTTGAGGTCAGTCAAGTTCAAGATTTGGTCCAACTGGTTGATGCTATTGCCCCTGTAGATGCTGCCTTTACCTTTGCTGGGAAGCTCATTGAGATGGTAAAAAGGAAGATCATAGAAAGAATCGATTTTCTTGTGGATGAATGGTCGAGAATTTTGAAGCCTACCACTAAGATGGTCATATCAATGGTGAGACATAGGAGCATCAGCTTCGTAAAAGAAGATGATGAAGACCTGGAGAGCTTGATAGATTATCTTATCTGCATAGTTATTCCACTGGCATGAACAAAATAGAGGGTGTCATGAGCTACCATGGAGCAAAGCAACCGTTCAAGACTCGTGCTTCCCTTGTTAAAGAAGCCCAGGAACTTTGGGACAAAAAGAAGGAAGATGCTAGCTCTGTCGAACGAAACCAGATCACCTAATCTGTATGTGAGTATATGACACGATTTGAAAAATTATAACACACATTCGATCTGAGAATTTTGCCAGAGCAGGGTGGATGACCGAAACCAGTAGATCACTCTGTTTTTGTGCCATTTTGCCTGATGTTAGATGTATCATATCTCTGGAGTTAAATTTATGTTTGATGAAAATAAATCAGTTAGTGTGAATTCTATATGTATATCAAACTTTTTTCTCTTCTATTGTGAGCATGGAAGCAGGAGGCGCAATGCCAAATAGTGAGCTAATACTTAACAAGCATTTTACTTTACCTAATACCCTCATGCATTGTCACGCCCCGAACTAGTCCCGACCGGAACTAGCCCGTGACGCTCCAAATTAACCTGTTAATCGATACCAGTCACAGGAAACAGTGCTGGTATCACAGGAAGACAGAATATCACAGCAACAGATGTCTCTTTATCATAGAGTAGGAGTACAGTCATGTTGGGCTGCAGACAGATCCCGAGCTCATAACTGCATTACAAAAGGGAAACGGAAGCCAAGACTTGGACCAAACATCACAGGCGCGACTTGGGAACTAGGCCGAAACCCTAAAACTCATCGTAGCCGGCTTGCTCCTGGAAGAACTCCTCGTCAGCGGGATCCGCTTCATCTTCTTCAGCAACTGGGGGGGGGATTATTTATATAGAGCAAGGGTGAGTACGGGAGTACTCAGCAAGCCATGGGAAATAAGTGTTTAATGCAGGCTTCAAGGAAAGGCTATTGTTTTTGCGATTGATTTTATTTAAACTCTTTTCAGAAACAACTAAGGGAGTGCTTCTCAAACGACACGGATGAGACAGTGCGTCTCGTCCGGTCGGAGTATGTGCAATGTATCAGTCTTTTGAATCGATCAAGGTTGGCACCCGGCCAACAGCTTTCAAACGGCCGCCCGGGCCTGGCTGATCCCATCAGCCGCAGATTTTCCAAACATCAAACCCATTCCACAACAGCAAATTTCACAAGGCAGTAGTCAAACAAAACTATGCTAGGAATCACCTCACATCCGCCCATGACCGTGGGCACGGCTGTTCGAACAGTTTTAATAACCTCTGCAGAGGGGGTACACTTTACCCACACGACATTACTAACCCGGATCATCCAGCCCGTACAGAACGGCCACGACTAGAGACCTTAAGGCTTTCATGACAAGGCATTTCGAAAGACGACACAGGTTCACCATATGCCAACGAGAGGGGTCCCAAACCAACACCAGATAGGTCCCAGACCTTACTGTGC